GTGTGTGTGTGTGTGTGTGTGTGTGTGTGTGTGTGTGTGTGTGTGTGTAGGCAAAGAGTTATGTCAGCTGCTGTGGTTGTAAAAGTTAATATTAAAAAAAAATCACATAAGACATAACTTATCACCGTCATGAGGAAGATCTCCACGTTGGGTAACCTCTCTTTGACTTTATTGTGTGACAAACTGAACCTCTTCAACCTTTGAAATCAACAAGAAGTGTCTTTTAAAAAATATTTTTAATGGTGATATAAATCTGTCAAAAACATGGTTATATACATGTTTTTTATTTTTTATTTTAGTTTTTAACTGTTGCACTTCCTGGATTGCTCTCAGTTGGCTGTCCCTGATGGTTGCTATCTTCTGCTGAGCAAACAGTGAAAGCAATCAAGCAGTAATTAATCTACTAAAGAAATGGGGCTCATAAAGATAATTATTGCTTCAGGACTAATTTATCTTTTTTTTATAACTCTCGATCAGTCCGTAGGAGTAAAGGGAAGTTGCACGCGTTTATTTGCACGTTAAAAAAAACATTTTAAGTGATAGATTTTTTTCTCATTTTTAGCTCAGAAATCTAAAAATAAATTGACCACCTTGCATTTTTACAGTAGCTTATTTGTTGTACAAAAGTTTTATTTGATCAGAAGATTGAATATAATCCAGCTTGTTGGCTCAGATGTGAAGAACAAACAACCATAAAATATATTCACAACTTGTTCAGAAATAAACAACCTAAAAGGTTTTGTCATATTAGCAGTCCATTGTATCGCATTTTTTTTATCTCCTAAATTTGATATTTGCAACTGAAACTGCCTCAACTTCAACATGTTTGAGTGAAAAATAGTAAAGTCAACTTTTCAGTGAGTTACAGCTTGTTTTCTTTTAATTTGCTGGGGTGGATTAGTGGTGGTGGCCATCTTGTATCAGGCTGAAAATTAACTCTTAAAGGTGTGGGCAACTTCTGTAAACTGGTTCATGAGATATTTTGCTAACAGGCAGACAATCAATCAGGTATTCTGGCTGAAAATAAAAAGCAGAAAAAAATTTGTTTAACTTTGACTAAACACAAAACATCGCATTCTTCATTTCATTGCTCCGGCTGAGCACAGCTAACAAACAACAACTAAGCTCTACATGGTATTTCCTGCACACAAACAGTGTTTTAACACAACCTCTTATAAAAACAGAAAAGTACTACATGTACGACTGATTACATGCGAAATAAATAATACAGAAATATAATTAAAAGTAAACATGTTTTTCCCACTGTTGAGTTGTGGTGAGTAGCTGCCATCTATGAATTCTCACAGAAAAGGTGTTTTAGTTTAAATTTACTATTTGTAAGTAGGAAAATCCCCACTTCCCAATACAGTTGGGCTGCAGCAAAAGTACCTGGTGAAAATGAAGCAAAATGGAGATTTTACACTGTGAATTTCACCAGCTACTTTTGAGCCCCGGGCACCTCCAGCTAGTGATGGGATGATGTTTTTTTGTGGTAAAATAATCAACATACTTTATGGGAGATGTATTTTATGGCCAATGCTGACTTTAAAGCAGCGTACGTTTATTTTAAAACATGAATGAATTGTCGAAGTTCTTGCGTGCTACATAAAATGTAGTGGTGGGCCACATTTGGCCCGCAGGCCTTACGTTTGACACATGCAAACCAGTGTTTATGCTTCTTGTTTATTTCTTATAGTGTTTGGTTTTTGTGTTTTCTTGTTTTCAGTTTGTCCCATTTCCTGCGTTTCTTGCTGTTACTTCACTCCTCAATCCCGCCACGCCCAGTTCCACGTGTTCCCAGTTTCATCAGCCACAGCTGCAGCCACTCTTCTCATCAGTCCGTATAAATCTTCAGCTCACACGTCARTTTGACATTGTTGCACTTTCACATCGATCATATGAGCCTTGTTTTTATTTTTGGTTTAAAATAAAGTGAAGTTTTATTTTAAGCTTCCTCAAGTCACGTTGGACTGCTGCGTTTGAAACCACGACGAGTTTAACTCCAGCCTCACCACCCTCCGCTCTGCTGTTCAGGACAAACACAACAAAGAGGATATTAAAACTGGRCTGAACTCATAAAACAAACAGCTGGTTGTTAGTGAYGGTAAGCTGGCACTTCCTCAAGCTTACAGAGTGGCAGCAGGGTAAAAGGGCTGCTTCCAGCCCTCGCCAGTATATAATAATAATAATAATAATAATAATAATAATAATAATAATAATAAAACAGGGGAAGCCTGTTTGTCAGATTTGCATCGAAACACCTATGATTTATAACTGTAATAAAGTGAATGCTCATTCTTCCGGGACAGGCATCATTCCTCTTCCTCTCACAAGAATGGCTCTAAGTCAGACAGTTGCACAGATTTGGAGCTGAATTTTAATGTGGTAGTACCTGAGAGTCRTTCACAACACATACTTTGAGCACTACACATCTAGCAAAGAGTAAGTTCTTACCAGTGGTAGAGAGTAATGGAGTACATTTATTTGAGTACTGTATTTAAGTACATTTTTTGAGTATCTTTCCTCGAATATTTATTTTTTTTTGGGAACTTATGACTTTCACTCCACTACATTTCAAAGACAAATGTGGTAATTTTCATTCCACTACATAGAAGCTTGTTAGTTACTTGTTGCTTTTAGCTCAGCATAGTTTTGTAATCAGCTGTGGCTGTTTTTCTTTTTTGAAATGTAATTGGCCACACGCTGTGTTCCTCACAAGGGGAACCAATCACAATAGCTCACACCTGGGATAGATTTGGGATTACAYCATCTGTCGTGAGCTGAGCCTGATCTSCCACCTTCATTTCAAACCGAACCYAGCAATGGAGACGATTGAAGAAAGCCAAGAAACCAGAGAAACATGGCCATATCTCAGCTCCATGTTTGAGATKTTAGGACTGAAAAATAGTTTGCACCARTTTAAACATGTACTCACYGTGGATAWACTTCATTTCTACATTTATGAACTCACCACTCACTTTGTTGTAAATTTATGCTGAAGTCTTTACAGGTGGTGATTTGTAGCAGAGTGCTTCTGTGTGTCAATACATCAGGTGGTTTCTGACAGTTACAAGAGTTTTATTTAAAGTATACAATGAGTAAGAAATCAAATATGCTGAAGGTTCAGTAAGTTATTTTTAAAGTATTAAAGCAGTAGCCAAAAGTTAAAATATGCAAAACGTCCGTCAGAAAGAGCACAAAGCTAAAGTCTAAAAGGAATAGCAAATTGCTAGCTAAAAGCTAAATACAGCAACTCAAAAGTAGAAAATGGCAGCTTAAAATAGCAACAAAGGCTAGCTAGAAGTTCAACTTTGATAAAGCTAACTACAGCTAAAAGTAGGATAAGAACACAAATAGGGCAGGTATGCTGAAATAGGTACATTAAAGGAATTATAGACAYAACTGTATATATGTGGAAAATAATTGTATTTAAAGCTGAATATTTTGCAAAGTATGAAAGAGACAAATGCCAAAAGTCAGAGCACCCACCTCCCAAATGAGCTGAATGTTTATATGAATGAAGCTTAAAACATGCAGGAAAGTTTGCATTTTCCTTTTGTTGTTGTTTTTTTTTTCACACTTCATCACATATTTCTCTTTGTTCTTCAGAGATGAGCTGAAGCGACACTACACCTTGGGGGAGTACTGGGTGGAGGTGGAGATGGAGGACCTCGCCAGCTTCGATGAAGATCTGTCCGACTGTGTTTACAAGCTGCCTTCTGAGAACCTRCCRYTGGTGAGTYGGCCGTCGGGTCKTTTTCCACRCGGCCTCRTGCTTTCTTTCTTTTCAATCGCTCTTTTCCTGAAACTACAGCTGGAAGAAGCTGCCAAAGAGGTGGCCGACGAGGTGACTCGTCCTCGGCCTGTCGGGGAGGAGACGGAGCAGGACGTCTGAAGGGCGACGCTCATCATGCCTCCATTCGCAGCCTGAAGGTACCTGATCTCGTTGTTTTGTCGCCCACTGCTGAAGCCAGAAGGAAAATAATATTGTTTGTGAATTTCCACTTGCCGCCTCGTGCAGTCGGAGCAGGCGTCCCGTCTGGTGAAGGTGCACGGTGTCATCATCTCGGCCACGACGGTCAAGGCCAAGGCCTCCAAGGTGTGCCTGCAGTGCCCCGGCTGCCGCGCCGTCCTCCCCGACGTCCCGCTGCCTCCGGGCCTGCAGGGCTTACGCTGTGCCGCGCAAGTGCAACAGGTGACCGCGAGACACGCCGGTTTCAGCTGRAGCTTTTAACGAGTGGCGTGGATTCTAACGAGCCCTTCTGTCTCAGTAAGAACGTCGGGAGGGTGAAGTGTCCCGTGGACCCGTACTTCATCGTCCCGGACCGCTGCGTTTGCGTGGACTTCCAGACGCTTCGCCTGCAGGAGTCTCCGGACGCTGTGCCTCACGGAGAGATGCCCTTCACCTCCAGCTGTACTGTGACCAGTAGGAGGAGCGCAGTCCGATGGAGGCGTCCAGTCCAGAGTGGTTTGTTCGGCTGAGTCTTGACTTCTCGTCCTCAGGTATCTGTGYGACCGTGTGGTGCCTGGGAACGGGGTGACCATCATGGGTATGTACTCCATCAAAAAGATGGCTGCAGCCAAGGTTTACCTCCGCGTGGTCGGGATCCAGGTGGATGATGGGTTATTTTTTTGCTGTTTTATTTTGCGTCTCCTGCAGGTCGCGGTGCCACCGGGTCAGTGTCTCCACAGGAGGAGGAGCTGTGAGCTCTTGCTGCTTCTCCTAACATCTATACGACTCTCTGGCCCGCTCCGTAGCTCCGTCCATCTAYGGCAGCGACGATCTGAAGAAGGCCATCGCCTGTTTGCTGTTTTGAGGCTCGAGGAAGAGGTGACACTGCCTTAAAAGTTGTTAAAAGTGTTAAACTGGTTCTAAAATTGCTCCAGTCTAACCTTGAGTACATAAAACAGACTCCACCATGTCAGGATTGATTAAAAAAAACCACACTCACAACAGAAATGATCTAATCTGTGTGAAAACTAAGTCTAAATATAATTCTAGATCTCATTGTTGAAGCTACGATTTGTTTTTTTTTGTTTGTTATTTTTGTCCAGGCTGCCCGACGGTCTCACTCGCAGGGGCAACGTCCACCTGCTGATGCTCGGAGACCCTGGAACAGCCAAGTCTCAGCTGCTCAAGTTCGTGGAGTGATGCTCGCCAATCGGGGTGAAWAATCCTAATCCTGAGCCGATCGGTTCGCAGTGCCCYGCCTCTCCCCGCACCAACAAAAAGTGTGGCTCAGAGAGAATTAAAATCCCTGGTTTGAACTGCTCAGCCACAAACACGTYAGCCTGCACGGCCAAACAAACTGTCAAAAGCCGCAATGAAAAGGACAAGATTGTTGGACAAATGTGCGTTGTTCAAAACGGTATGTCCGAATAAAACAGAAATCCGCTGGTTTTCTTCTTTAAAACTTTATTTTTAATCTTCTGACTCCAATCAGGTTCACAGAACAGCACTCAGCACACAGGCCTCAGTRAGACCTTAGGCTGAACCAAAACAAACAGACAAGAGCTCTGCTCTGAGCAGACACACTGCAAAACACTGACAACTTATTTTCACTATAAATAATGAATAGAGCTTATAATGTATCTTTCTTCCTGGTTACATCCCAGGAGACGTTACCTTTTACGTCAGACGTCAGAACGTACTCAGTTTTGTTTAGGCTAAAGGAAGAACACATGATAACACACACACCAGCTCTTATTCTGTTATGGCCTTAAAGATTGAAATGRTCAGAAAGTATAAAATRCTAAACTGAATYTAATRTTCAATTAATCAGTTACAAAATTYCTTCAAGACCATAAACATGCTGAATATTCTCAGGAACAGACGAGCCCACGTATTTTAAACATTTATGAAAAGGACGAGTCACATACGTTGCTGACGAGACCCCAAATATGTCACAGCCCGAGTGTCTGGGATGACTCCGGACACTTCAGTATTTAAACACATCTTTTATTATTAACAAAGACCAGCCTGAACAAAGAGAGCTGGGAGCTCAGGCCAAAACCAACAAAAGAGAGAGGGAGCAGCCCCAAACCGGCCCACGGTTCACAATCTGATTCAGGACCCCCACCCCTTTACTTACTTACTTACTTACTTTTGTTACTTTTAGTGGTTTTAACTAGCCTTTTGCTGCTTTTAAATTTTAGCCAACCTTTGACTACTAGCTGTAAACACTGTTTTTGAGCACAAAGACGACCTGCTCCAGTGTTATGAAACCATCAGAGACTCAGAAGAGTTTGATGCCACCACTGTGAGAGAAGCTGGAGGATATGTGAGGCTGTTGGAGGACGACACTTTCAGCTTCTTTCTGAAACTGTTCCATCTTGTCATGCCTCATGTGGACATTCTCTACAGCCCAGCTCCAGAAGCGGACCATCGACTCTGTCTTTGTTCAGAGAATCATGCAGCAGTTCACAGACAACATAGAAAAGTGCAGGTAAATTATTTTGTATGTTGTGCTGTTTAATTTTACTATTGTACTTAACCAACTAATATTTCTTGTTATTTTACCTGTTGACTAAAGATGAATTTTTCCCACTTGTTTCTGTTCAGAGATTTCATTCCCTACTCTCTGTAAAGAACATGATGTGTCTCAGCAGGAGAAAAAAATGTTGCTCACTGGGCTCAGGTGATCTTCACATCTCCTCTGACCACAGCTGAAACTGAGAGGAGTTTCTCAACACTGAAGACAATCCAGACTTTCCTCAGGTACAACATCACATCTCACTGCACTGACCATGCTCTCTGTAGAGAAGAATCTGGTTAAAACATCCCTGACTTTAACCAGAGTCACGAAGAAATTTGCTTCTCAGTAACAGAAGGGCAAAATTTATGTATAAAAAAAATAAAACACTACATGACATTGTAATGTTGCTTTATTATTTTCATTTTTTTAATAAATACACTGGCGTGATACAACTTAGTACATTTTGATTGCTTTCTGAGATATGTCTATTTTGTAGTTGTAGCCCCCCCTGGAGAAAAATCCACCAGTCGCCATGCATTGGCCTGTTCTCTTTACACATGCATGCACATATCCTGGTTATCCAAAGCTCACATGCACTGAGATGAGTTTGCACAAAGAAGTTTTTTTTTTTTCTTATGAATGTCACACCTGAAGTGTGTTCATTTCCATTTGTAGTTGGTTTTGGCTCTAAGAGGCAGATCAGACGAGTTTAATGACGCAGAACAACAGAGATGACCGTGTGTATTAAATGTTCTCAAAGTTTTGCCGCTTTAACTTTCTAACCTGTACAAATACACTTTGTTCCCTTATCAAGACAGTTTGGACAAAAAAATTAAACTCACTCAGATGAACTGAAATCATTGCAACAAAACCTATCATTTTTTTTGTTTCCCCCTTCCACGTTGAGTGTCAGGAAAACTTACAGGAAGAGTAAATAAAAGCAATTGCAGCAGATCCTGCTCACAAAGTCACACTGGGTGCAACCTGATCTGAGTCATTTGAACCAGCTCTGCTAGTTCAACAAACGCCAGTAACATACAAACACAGCGGCAGCAGCTTCAGGTGTATAAAACAAGCCTTCAGAGATTAAAACAGGGAGTATGGTGGAACTCCCAGGTGTTCTATTGTGCTCCTGATCTGTTCTGCACCTGCGTTCACACTGACGTCCATCCGCTCCGGGATTATGTAATCTCCATGGTGTTTGTGATACTGATGTTTTGGCACATTTTACATGCTAGGTTTGGGGTGTAAAACATGCTAACTTTACTTCTGAATTCATCATTTTGTGTTTAATCTAATGAAAATTCAGAGCTTTATTTGAAGATGGCCACCGCTGTTACACTTTATTTGCACTACAGACTATTTTTCACAAAATAAATAAAAAAATTAAGTCAGTAGTGCCGATTCTCTAAATGATTTGGAGTTATTTCATTATTTTTTGTTATATATTATTGTACTTATTTAATACAGAACATTTTTATTTTCCCAACATCTTTGTCTTGGGTTTTATTGTCCTCGACAAACTAAAGGAATACTCACAAAATTATTTAAAGTGTATCTTACCCCCCTGTGAAAAGATAACTCCGACCCAAGGCGAAATTTGAAAAATGCATCAAAGTGGGTA